AGAGGTTGGGGGGAAATGCTCAATTTTAGCAAACTTAAATATGTATTATACTTATATGTATATTCTGTATCCTAGTTAGAATTCAATATGTAAATTAATAATAAAGTTATATTCTTCATTTAGACTAGTTTATAGTATTGTACAATCAGTTTTAGGGCTAGGAAAACTCATATACATGAAATATAGGGAAAACTCACATATTGTGTTGTATCTTACTCAAATTTTGCTCATTTTAATATTTTTTTTCTGGAATATGAAAGATACTTCAAAAGTATAATTTTTACAACTTAGATCATGTAATTTGGTTAAGTATTAGTTGAGTTATAGTAGATTTTGTATTTGAGTGTACTTAGTGTGACAAAAATCACGAATCGCGCGTGTGACAATATTTATGAAAACGACAGTAACACACATTTTCTAACTTTTTCTAGTTTCTTCGATGCCATCCATGTCCTTCTGGCCTACCTTGTTGTACATGTTCAGTGCCTGCTTAGGGACGTTTTCTTGATGCAACGTCTCTGCAGGTGCTAGTGAACTGTTGATAGATGGACATCTATCTTCTTCTTGTGATATGCTCTCTACCTTGCAGATGCTGATGGCTGTGCTAGTATCCAAAACACGACCAGTGCAAAGCTTTATTGCCGTGATTTTCACCTTTGTTGATGCGGATATAACGGAATCCTGCTGCGATTATCATTGGTTTCAGCTAAAGTGGCTGTACATTTTGTCCCCGCGTTCAACGCGAGAACCTATCAGTTCAGTCAAGAACTAAACTCAACTTTGTTCTTATCGTCTATCTGGTTTGACGCGAATGCTGTGCATAGATGCGTCTGACTCGGTTTCCTTTCATCCTGAAGCCTGACTCGACCTTGCGTGAGGCGTTTGTAAACGAACGACGCTTACGGGCAACTCAAAATGGTAATTACGGGTAATTCTCATACAATACGGTCCGAAATCTCTGCTATTGCGGCCCTATCTGCTATTGATGTGACTCGAACGCGATGATTGTTTGCTCGTAAGATCACTGGGGCGCAGTTTGCGACATGTGTCAGCAGTGCGTCTACATGTGTTGCGCAGCCGCAGGTGCGTTCCAACTGGGGCTAATCAAGTGTATAAAACGCGCTGGGTCTGGAGGAGATTTGAACACCAATACCCCGAGCTTCTTAACTCTTACCTCAAACGCTCTCGCAGTCTCATCCTCAGTGCAGAACTATCAGTTCCTCTGCCATGCCGATGCCCTGCAACCGTGACTTCCCTTCTACCCTCGCCGACATGCAAAACGTCTACGGTCTCACAGGAAACAATCCTGGTCCTGTACATATCAACCGTACCTCGAACGCACCTTCTCAGTCTTCATCCACATCCTCATCCTTCTCGTTGTCTCGACTGATGCGGAAGAAACAACGATCCGGCAATTCAGACTCGTCCAGCTCGACGCTCTCTAACTCAAGTCGATCGTCCATGGATTCTCAAACGACACTTGCTAGCACTGCCGGCACGAACGTCACGCCGGCTCCGCGAAATTACGAGGCTGCATTCGGCGCATTGTCGTCTTCGTACGGATTTGGTGCACCGACTCCAACAACTGTATCTGTCCCTGTGCTTCCGAAGCATTCTGGGTATCCGACTGCGCCGGCCAAACCACAAAAGGCTGACAAGGAGCCTCGGCGAGCTGCAATGGCTGTGTGGAGTTCGATGCGTTGAAGGGACTAAAATAATCTCTGGTAGGCTTCTTCTCGACGTAGATTTTTTTTGGTGATTAAAGACTCACTTTGTCAACTTTCTGTAGCTTGCCATTGACAGTATGGTACATTTTGCAATTGCACACCATTACACATATAATTCTTCATGCACTACAGACAATACCCTCATATCTTCTACTATTCCTTCCTCTTAAAATTGTAGTGCTGTAGTTCCTCTGGCTCTTTGTTTTCTTTGTATGTGCACACATGTGTTTTCACTTGTGTCTTGCAATGTACTATATAATTGCTTGTTACAGAACATAAGACTCCAACCAGGCACCTCAGTCCACTCAGCTGGGCTACATATACACACCATCAATGCAAACACAGTACATATACACACATCACATTCAATGCTATGTTTTAGCCTATTGAAGATATGAGCAAAACCTTGCTGAATGAAAATAATTACCTTTGTAAGGCTGGGAGATGTAGGTTAGATGATTAGGTCGGGCATCTATGTTCACATGTATAACTACATCTTTGTACAAGTATTTAATAGGGTTAGGGTTAGGATCCTAAAGGAACCAAAAAAGAGCCCACCCAGCCCGAGGGCCGAAGTGGGACAGGAAAATATTAAGACAGTGCATACGGCATAAACCGCATACAAGCCACAGGCCCTCTCTGCGGACAGGGTCGCCGTGCTATGGAAAGTACCCATGGTCCACATCCCCAAGACATGAAGGAGGATGCGCCATCAAGGTAAGTATGAAGTGTTATCATGTTCAATGTGCAGGTTATAAGGGAACGTAAATGTGCGCACGGACCACGTGCTTGAACAGGAAGCACTTGCGTGTGTTTGTGCATGTCCTTTTGTCTTCTTCGAAAGCTTGATAAAATAAACATTACCTTTGTGAAGTTTGTTGCACAAACATCGATGTAAGTTTGGTCTCGACTCAGCAATCATACTTGCAGCTCACAGTCCTCTTCCTTTCAAATCACCACTCCTCTTATTAGCCCCTTGATACATACTGACTGATTGCTTTAATCCACTTTTCTCGCTGCTTTAGTAAGATAATAATAGTGCACAAAAAAAAATCGCTAACGGGAATTAGAATATTATACAACCCGATTGGTATTGCTAAAGCCCCCTTAAATAAGATATTTATAGTGAACTTTATAGCCAGTTATTCCGCTTGCAACTGAATGGAGTACAAGTCTTCAAAGCCAAAACAGGATTTGTATGACAATACTAGACATTACATTATAAATCAAGTGAACATCGCTTGCTCATACAAGTATATATTCATACAGAGGTATTAGTACTTTATCACCACCAGAAAAGACACGCAAAGAACCCTAGTGACCAAGATAGCAGTAGACAGATTATACGAAATCCAAAAAGAAACAAGCAAATAGGTATAGATTAGGAACCCATCTCCTAAGAACAATGCAATTGAAAGACCACTGCAGGAATTGCAGACCTACGTATTCCAAGGGCCACGCCCAGGGCGCATCACTCGCAGTTCGTATGCGCTTTGCTCGTTTAGTCTCGAACGGTCGTTGATAAACGCTACCCGGTCTACGGGTCGTGCACCTACACCGTTATTCGTCGCCATTCCCATTGCCGTCGCAGCTTCCTGAGAGTGTCTAGGACTTATACTTAACACACCAATCGACTCGGTCCCAAGATTGGCCGACCGTCTTCCATCATTCTCAGCAAACTCAATATGCTCGTGGGTTGCCTTGTCAGTGTGTGAACTCCCCGGTCGTGACGAATAGGGAGAGGTGTAGTTGGAAGGAGACGTGAGGTCGCTACCAGGTACGACGCTAATATGCTGGCAAATAGTTGAGGACCGTTGTTGACGCACGAAATGGGGATCATTTCTGGTTGCTTTCCAGCCGTCGAGCTCGAATCGATATGCGTTGTCTTCTGCCGAGACTAGCCCCATGCTATGAGCTGCTGCAGAACGTCGGAGGGAGAGTGTGATGCGCGAAATCATGGCAACTGTGAACCTGTTCCGGGGGAGTGTGTAAGTATCTCTTCATGGCAATGCAATAGGTTATCGCAAGTCTTACATTTGTTCCAGCCTAAAAATAATCAATTGATAAGCGCTGTCTAACACATTCATTTCTAATAAATAATACGCACTGTGCCGTGATATTCTTAATTGGAGGCTACCGTCCAGTAACGAGTAAGAAAACAAAAACTAAAGCTCCGAGGGCTGCTCACCTGTGCAAATACAATCATAAAGGCGAGTACAAGATTAACCAAAAAAATGACACTGTAGTACAAGAGCCCATCTCTCATCAATACTCGGAAGATATACGTCGCCGACGAACTCCGGACCCGGGGCATGCATTTGTAGAGCGTAAGTACAGTCACGTAGGTGTCGTAGATCAGAGGTAGCCATGCAGACAGAGAAGGCCATCCGCCCCTGTTGATTAGGCAACGTCAGAACATGGTCTAGAAGACAGAAAACTGCCGGACGACGTACAATCCTGGGTCGAAAATCATCGTACAAGCTACATGTGAACATGACTGAGTCTATGAACTATCTATGTCAGGAACTATTTCACTCACGTCTCAGAGGCAAGTTATAATCATGGGGTACAGCTGAGAATATATGGGTAAGCAGAATAACCCGTAAGCTTTCACAAACATCATGCTTACGTTCGCTGTGAGTCATCAACCATGCGTGTATGGCAGTTTCTAGAGCAAGTAGGAGTATGACCGACGCTATCACCAGATTTTGCCCCTTGTACAGCGCCCACACTCTAACGACACAATTCAGCCGCTGCACAACGTATTAACACCGACGGGATTTACCTAAGAAGCATCATCAACGCTGCTACTTCCAGCGCTATAATTGTACAGGAGCCTTCGTAACGAACGAATTCTTCGCATCTGCGCATTGAAATCAGGTTTACACGTGTATCATGCCAGGTGCCTCATGCTCACGTCTACCGTTAACGTCAGATACATTCGGAGACGGATAAGATACGAACAAAAAGCTCACTTGTTCGTCCCAGTTGGAAAAGTAGGCTGTGTTTCAAGTGTGATTACTTCGGGTCCTTGCAAGACGGATCTGCATAACAGCGGACGCACCAACGAGGTTTCCGATGAATGCTATTGGTGTGAAATAGCGGTTCTATCAAGTTCCATAAGCGGGAGGAGCGCTTAAGTTCATATATGGCAACGAACATACCACGAAGAATAGATACGTCGCTGGCGGGGGCAGGTCAGCCTTTGCTCCAGAACGTTCGACCATTCAATAGACTACACGTACCCGGACTCTTTGACCTCACCCAAATGAACCTTACCTCGTCACCGAAGGAAATGACATGGTCCCATACTAATATTGTATAGCCCATAAATGCGACATACTAGACAGGCGAAAAGCCTGAGCGGAAGTAAAGGACAAAGGAGAGCACGTCAGCGACTTACGTTCGTTGCTCGTCTGATCATTAAATTGAGTATTCAATCATAATTCGGTGGCTCGGAAACAGGGAGGAAGACGTACGAATAGAAATATTCATCATACGGAGCTAAAGGCTGCGCAGACATCAGACCTGATGTGTGTGCTTTCCACCAGACTGAGCCAATATAATAAAGGAGGGAGGAGTAGCATGAAAGGGTTCAAGCGAGTGGAGGGGAGGGGCATTCGTATCACAGCGGCATACGCAATATATAAACGAATCATCGCGCGCAGTGACTGACTTTGACTAGCGCGGGGAAGGGGCTATGTCCCAGAATTTTACATACATGTTTGACAACCGGGCAAATAAGGCGGGAAAAGGCACACAACAGCACGCCGAAGGGTGATATGATTGAATTGGGCGAGGGACGATATCCAGATCGCGTGATTGAATGACGCAGACAGCCGAACATTCCCTGTGCATGCCCTCCCGGCTCTCCAGACTCGGGAATTTAGGATAGATTAGCGCGGGCGGGTCACCTCAAGCACAAGCAGCGACCCTGGATTGTATACAGCGGAGGAGCTTAGACCGCTCTAAATGTAAGAATTGTTGACCTACTTAAGAACTTTTCGACAGTTCCTATCGATACGAGCCACGCGTGTACAATGTGGCTCACCTTCAATGATAATGCAGCAACCATACGCAGGTAGACGTTTGGAACCTCAAGGAAACAGGAGTAGACGTTCTGTCAAGTTTCACATGGACCTGCCAGCATCATAAATCAATGAAATGGAAATTATGCACGTTGCGCAGCGTTGTGGAGCAAAAGGCACTGCATTCGCGTAGACTATGAGGCGGGAATACGATATTTCTTTGTATTTACAACTTGTGGGCGCGGGCGCAAACAGTCGAACTCAAGAATAGCCAGCTGCACAGCAAAGCGATATGATGATGGTGGTTAGGAAAGAAGGCGCCGATCAGTCGAATACGGATATTGGCCCGTCGAGTATAGCCGAGCCCCGCGGAACGTAAGAAAACAACACGCAACAATGTGCGGAAAAACGAGAAAGAAGCGAACGGTGCTGGTAGGGTGGACAATAACGCATAATAGGATTCCACGATTACAACGGAGCGCACGTACAAGCACGGGCACGACTCTTCAATTTCATATTCATTTTTTCTTTCTTTCTTTCTTTCTTTCTTTTTAGTTCCTCCGAAGTTTTTATGCTAGTAACGCGGCACTTTCGCCCACTCTACATAACTCCGAGCCCTCCGAGTCGGTGTCGGCGGTAGTCGTCACAGCTCCTCCGGTTATCTAGTCTCTTACCCCATGGGGAACTTATTGCATCCTAATCCATGCGCAGGTTCCCGGTCCTTGCACAAATACACACTCAAAACAAGACAATCACATTAAAACAAGGAGTACAGGTAAAACACCTCTAGTACAAACATAGCTGGCGTAAAGGATAAATAAGGGGGGACGGGAGCAAGAAAATGATTCTGTCCATCTTTTACGTGCGGACGTATGGCGAAGCGCGCATTCTGCGCAATTCATATACATCTCGATCACTCAGAACTGCGCGCTCAGGCTGTCCTACACCAGTGGTGCCAAGCTCTAAGGCACCCATACTCTTTGTTTGAAGATGATCATCCACCATTCCCGATACCATTCCTTGAGACCGGGTCCTCGTGGTGTCAAAAGCGTCGATGGAGCGGCCAGGCCGTACTTGGTAACCACTTTGCACGCCTCTCGCCATGGTGATTGGAGGTGTTTCAGAATGCAACACGGGATCAGAGTCAAACGACTCGTAAGACAATCCAAAATTCCCTGGGCAGCGCCGCCAACTTGAAGAAGCGTGCGAACGTCCAGAGGTTGCAGACGCATTTTCAATCCAATGCTGTGATGGCTTGTCAGAATAGTGGGAGTGATGATGCGGATGTCCATGTCCAGTGTAGACGTGAAAGGACCTCGACTCGGGGGATCGAGGAAAGAGATAGCTATCGTCCCCTTCATCCGAGCTTGGGTCTTCGTGTGCCTTACGTCGCAGGCTCAGTGTGATCCGGCTCATCATAGCGACCTAGGTTCCGAAAGTTAGCCGCGCAAAACTTTGCTGTATCAAAGACAAGTAGCATACAGTTAACCTGAAAAGGTATCGTTGGAGTGAGAAAGTTATCCAGGGTCAAAAGTGATCTGAAGATGTGCTCACAGTTGCTCTAGTCTAGACGCACGACGATATTCATAATCGAGTCAGCTCAAGTCCAAATTGTAAATAGATGCGGAAATCGTACTGCGCCGTGATATTCTTAATGCCAGGCTACAGAAGCATGATGAAGGATATCAATCCCAATGCACACAAAGGGAACACAATACACGTACCCGCGTTGATATGATCATTACAGCGAGCACCAGGTTTACAGCGAATATAACGCTTCATTCAATTGTGTCAATACAGGCACACGGAACCATTAAAATCCGAAAGGTCCGACGTGAACTTGCACACACCTGTAATACAATAGACCGTCCTTCAGAAGCGTACGTAGGATATGGCTGGCGGTGTGCTCTTTTACAGGCCCAGCACATTTCCACAGGGTCAGAGCGATGACAATCGTGTCGTATACCAGCGGGAACCAAGCTGACAGAGATGGGGCAGATCCTCTGGACCGACGCGTTAGCGGCAATTTTTACACAATGTGAAAGAAAAAATGCTCACAGCTGTGGATCAAAAATCATCGTGCATGCTGTATTCGAATAGCCTGCTCATTAAGTCGTCGAATAGAAATTCGAAAAAGATATAAGCAACTCACCATGAACATCCAAGGTATGTGGTACGGCTGAATAAATCGACCCAATTATCAGGATCCCGTATATGCCAAAATATTTAGCAGTATCCGCTCACCCTCAGCACGACTCAACAACCAGGCAAACACGCCTGCCTCTGCCAGAAGAACAACACCAAGGGAATAAACCACTTTCGGCCTGTCTGCGTATAATGCTCTTACACTGAAACAAAGGGTTCCCTATCACCGATAAATTCAAATCAAGAACATGGATCAGTTGCGAACCGAATCAACATCATGAGCCCCGAAACCCATACAGCAATGGCTGTCGTGGTTCCCTCATATCGAACAAATTCATTACAGCTGATACACCAGAGTCAACTGAAACGTATCAAATGGAATAAAGATAACACGTACTGCTAAAGAAAGAAACCAATACAACGCAGTGGTAAGGAAAAGTAGCCGGTGGAGTAAAAAAGAGCTGATTCTCACTTCTGGGGACCAGGTCGAAAAGTAGGCTAACGTCGCAAAAAAATCGATTAACTCAGCACAAAATATGGCACAGATAGTACACGGAAACAACGAAACGTACCTATGAAGTTGCCTATGAAGGAGAATGGTGTGAAGTATCGATTCTGTTCGGTACGAGTTAAGCGCCTGCTATCAAATCGCAAAAGAATGCACCAGTCCTTTCTTACCCAGAAAAATAAATAAATAACTTCCAGCATGAAACACCACAGTGAGCGCATAGTACTCCAAACAATGATTAACTCTGCATACCAATGCTCTTCCGTCCGTTCCAGATGTATCGGACCTACAATAAGCGTGTTTAATAAACGCATAATTTCGACGTTCGCATCATTTCAAGGCCACAACTCACCTCATCTTTGAAGGTAATCAGATGGTCCCAAACCAATATAGTGAATCCTATGAATGCTACATACTGCCGACGTAGCGTCTGTCAGTCGGAAATTCAAGCAATCCGAGCATGGAGACGCACGTTCGTTACTCGCCTGTACAACGGTATTCGGTTATACCCGACGTTTGAGAAGACAAAGAAGGATGGAGGGACGTACGAGTAAAACACGTCCTGGTGATTTGATGATGGCATTTGACGCGCATCGAGGTGCTGGAAAGCACCCAACACCTCAACACCTTGGCCGGCTGCAGATAACATGTTCAAGCAAACACTCAGGACTGAATTCCAACCCAGAATACAAGTAGAGAAACGTTGTTGCCATTCGCATCGGCTCAGAGTCGAGGGAAAGGAAGGGCGGGCCGAGTGGATGCGGAGCCCCACAGTCCTTAAGTATGTTTTCCAAACCTATCATTTCCAAGTCATTTGCGCCAATTCCACGCAGCCGAACGCAGTGTTTGATTTCAGTCGGCAACTTCGTAATCAGAGTGTGGGTCTCGTGAATAGACTTAATAGCCGACTTCGGAGGATGTTGCGTCCTTGCGTGCGATATCAAGTCAATCGATTCACAAGTGGCGTATTGAGCGCTCTTGTAAATCTGGGGTCGACTTGTGGTGCAGGTGCTCGACATACCATCTTTGGTATGTCCATTACGTGCAGATGACAGTTTTCGACAGTCCGCAGGTCAATTGAAAATCGTTTTGCAAAGGGACATCAAGTCTTGCGACAACGGCGAGTGCACCGTGCAAGGACAAGAAGATTTTTCTTAGAAGATCAGGTTTAAAGCCTGATATGAGACTACGTCGGAAGGAAGCGCACAAGCTTCTGGGTCAACCAGAGGCGTCTATATTTAAGTGTATGTAATAAACGTAATCTGACTGGCTTGTCGATTATGATCAAGAGAGTCGGATATGGTGTAACGGCTAACATTGCCGCCTCTCATTCCCCAGTCTTCAGTACGCGGCAGCTTGGGGTTCGATTCCCCGTATCCGAAATTTAGTTTTCTCAATTCATGATCACCGATTTGGCTTTTTGATTCACGGGTTAAACTTGATTATTCTTAATGAAAGTAATATTTTGGTAAATCTATGCATATTGTTCACCTCTCCCCTATTTCTGATCTGTTTTTTGAGGTCATTAAGCCTTTCCTTATCATTATTGAAGCAAAGATATCATAGAGCTTGCATTAGCCTTCTGCCAGAACGACTCAGACTTAGTGTTTTTGCCTATTGTTCTGCTCTTGAATAGATGGAATAGAGACACATCCCAAAGTCTTTGATAAGTGCAAATAGAACAGGTGTATTGCATTGCATATTCAATCAATCCTTGAGATTCTACTATACTGACGGTAGCACGTAATAAACGTTGAGATGAACCTGAAGTTGCATAACGAAAGACCCGTTCACTCAAACCCATGCTGGTATACGAGACTGAACAATGTCATTGTTAGGTCACACAAGCAGGAGCGTGGGGCTGTAGGTAGGTAGGTAGGTAGATAGTTCGAATGAATAATACATATTAAAAAGCCATAATGACATTGCCACGCAAGATAAGTAATAAAGTCCAAAAGAATCTCCATAATCGTCTAAGAAGCATCACTGCCAACATCGAGACACTGTAATTGCCATATTGAACAGCGCTATGTGCGTAGCATCAGGACAGGACCTATTGAAAGAAATACCAACGAAAACAGGTGAGAAACCATGGAAGGAGCAAAAAGCACAGAAGAACAGAGAGAGAGAAGACTTACCGCTAATAAGACGATACACACGACGATAACGAGTATGATCATCAAGCATGCTGCTCTTCGTCCTGCTTTCCGTTGGTATTCGGATGCAGTGTTGAGTTCCTCTGCTGCACCAGTGGTGTCGACAGCTATGGAAGAGATATTCGATTCGATATTGTCTATCATCCACCAATAACACGGGTTTCGTCGAGTGAATACAAGTTCAATTATTCATGACGCTCTTGAATTAAAAGAAGATTTAGGGCTTACCGAGCATACCGCCCTGCTCACTGACTAACGTCCCCAAGTCTCGGAAGATCTCAGAAAGTTCGTGTATACCAGTCTCGATCTCTCTTATCTCTTCTTCGCGTTCTTGGATTAACGATTCTTGGTGCGCGAGTTCGTACGGTGATAATTGCCTGGTACGAACCACAATACATAAGTCCACTCACTACTTTGTAGTCGGATAACAAGAAAGAATATGTCAATGAAGATACGTACTGTTGTAATACTTGAGCCTGCCGTTGCTCAGGAGATGTTCCAGGTTGAGCATCAGAACTACCAGTTCGTTTCCAATCAGCAACGAAACTTCAGTTCGTGAAATGGGGGCGGAATAAACGCACAATCCAGCCTCTCGAGCACCAGTATGTTCCTCGTCCACAGCTAGTTTCACACCCTCAACAACGGTGCGCTGTTTCTCCGCACTGACCTGCTGCGCACGTTGGAACGCAACGAGTGAGAGTTGGAAGTCGTGTGATGTCTTCTGAAGAGCTGTTTTCTGATTTGGCTGGAGAGGTTTAGGAAGCCGTGTTAGCACACACGCGTGCGTAATGAATATAGACGGACAGAGACTTTCCAGAGTACTCTGCAACGCAGCCAGCTTCTTTAAGTCCTCCGACCCCCGCTTGGCCATATCCCTCGTCGTTTCCGTTAGATTATGTCTATTCGTACACGACAGATACGATATCACATGACGAATATGAATAAATCACTTCTATGAGCTCACAACCTCATTCAAACAATGCGAGAGAAGCTCACAATCCAGTTCTAACACTCCCCGTATCCCTATTTGTCCCCAACTGATCCACAAGCTTCAGTATCCCTTGGACATTCGCGTTAATCTTGAAGACTTGTAAGGATAGCGAAGATTGTAGGTTTGAGAAAGCTGCTTCTTCTCGCGACTGTGCATTTCCAGCACCAGGAGGAGGGGAGAGGGAGGAAGGTGCCTGGGCGAGCCCGGTTTCTATGTCTTGAAAGCTCATCTTGTCGCTCTCAGTTGTTGATGAAGTGAAAGGTAGAGTGTAAAATGAGGGGTATATGGGATGGACGAGAGTACTGTGGATGAGTTGAGCAGTCAGCACGTCTTGCTCGCAGTCACAGTTGCACGCTTCGTCACAGCACAGTGCACTGCGTCAGTGAACACGCGTTGCCACATTAGGTGTCCCGCAGCTCGCAGTTCGCACATGCACATAAATATAAACACTCCTATCTCGTCTACAGTGACAAAAAAGTTACAATTTAAAGGTATTCTTAATAGCTATGATATACTACATGAATACGAGCTCTACAATAGTACGAAACTCTACTTCGCGCATATGTCCTTCAAGGGCAATAATCACCGTGTATAAGCTTCACTTTTGACCGTACGCCACCTGCAATAAATATGCGGAACGCCTACGAAGTCCGAATTGGTCGTCAAAAGGTATGAACCCGTCCGGAAGGTCCTTCATCATCACCAGGTATTCTTTCACAATCTCAACCTAAGACCAGCAAGAGATGATCAGTATTTGTTAGACAGAGACATCAATACACTCACGAGAGCTTTCACGCTGTCCTTGTCGTCCCCGGTCGACGCTAACGCACTAACCATCTCCTCCAAAGCAGCAAGCGTCCGATCAACATTCATCAAATCGTCAATCGTCACCGTCTTTTGCTTCCCCGAGACAAGTCGCCGGAATGTACCCTTCCATTCTTCGGTATTGAACCATCGGATTTGGTGTACCGGTGGTTTTCCCTCCGGCATTCCATTTGACTTCGGCATTCCCGTAGACTCTTCAATTGGACCAGCAGTTGGACTCGGTGGACTTCCCGCGCCAGTGTGAATATGTACGTCCGTGTCTGTGCTCGGCGCCGAATTCGCGTTCACACCCTGACCTTCGTCCATGTTCGCACCCGCCGAATCCTCTCGTCGGGAACCCGAGCGTGGAACCGAGTTATCGTTAACATCGTTAGCACTGTTGCTACGTGGTATGTCTTCTCTTTCCACGAAGATCCTCGATGTCGTGGAAGATGTTTCATCAGCAGGAGGCCTATTATTTGCTAGCCCTTTCGTTCCTTGTACCAATTCTGGGGGAGCAAGCACCGAATAATTCGCTTCTGACGTGTCACTCTCCCGCAAAAATACTGATGCCGACGGCGCGGTCTTAGTGGCGGTGATGGTTGCGCTATTGATGCTGGGAGCGCGACTGGCATTCATCAAATCCTCGTCGGCAGTGGCAGTGGAAGGCACAGAACGTGTCAAGGTGCGCGGATCGACGATTCCATTCGGTGTAGGCGCGGAGGCGAGGTTGTTTTCGAGATCAAGTTCGCGTTCGCGTTCAGGAACGTGTACTTTCATAGCATAACGCTGATGCGCAAGTTCTTCCCTCGATGCGTCGCTAACGGATTTGTTGGTATCGTCTAAGTCGACGACGATCGGCGCACTGGCCGAGCCCGGGTCATTCGCCGAGAGAGATAGCTCACCGGCCGGAATATCTGGAACGAAGACGAGAGGATCGTCCATTGGTGCATCCGAAGACGGCGAGACCAGTGGTCCCGGTTCTTGTTCCGCTCGTGTATTATTACCAATAACACTGTCACCCTTTCTCCCCGTCCCCGCCTCCACGCTCCCTCTTGCTTCATCTTCATCTTCATCTTCATCTTCATCTTCATCTTCATCTTCATCTCCTTCGCTAGACGTAGACGTAGAGGGCGTCGACGCCTCTGTTTCAAGTCTAGGCCTAGCAACTTCTTTCACCTATACAAATACAAAAGATTCACCGAAATGAAATCAGCATGCCCTAAATGAATAAAAGAAGAACAGAAAAGAACAGAAAATTGATACGTACTTTATGAGGCTTGCGCCCATGTCCCCTTCTTATGTCCCCCGGCCCGTAGCACTGCTCAAGGATCTCCGTGTATCTTTGCGCAGGCGTCTCTGAACGTGTGACATATGGACTGCGTCCTGGGACACGGGTCAGTTCGCGCCAACCCTCTGGAGGGACGTATGCGTTTCTCTCCTTCCAAAATTCTAGATTGGCGTTCGAGCCCGAGTTGTTGAGTGAATGTAGAAGGCTCGCACGTTCTCGTTGGCGGGAAGGAGATTTGTTTTGATCTTGATCTACGGAAGAAGGAGGGAGGATGTATGCATGACGGGTTGGACTGGTCCACGTCCATGCTCCCTCGGGGGTTGATTCGGAATGTGAATTCGAAGGAGAGGATAACCGTCCTTCGTCCTCTGAAAGAGAGTCTTCAACCAAGTATTGCTCTGCCGCAGTGTTCGCAGCAATATGCCGGTCCAATTCGAGAGAGACGGAAGATCTCCTCTGGGGATCGCCATTCCTAATACCGATACCGATACCGTCATCAATATCAAACGTAGCAGAAGTATGCTGCGGGGCCGAGTTGGTCTCTCCGACGTCTCCGTCGTCGTTGTCGTCGCGCATCCGTTTCTTCCCATGGCGATATTTGTCCGTACCAGTAATATCGTCCGTAATCGGCTCTAAGAAAAGCGTACCAGTATTGGCATCCAGTCCAGTCCTGCCAGTTCGCACCAGACCGCTCCTCTTCCGCTCGCCGCCTTCGCCCAAGGTAGGTCTACCCCCACTTCTCCCACCAATACTTCTACCAATTCCGGTACTAGTACGATTAGACGCCCATGCCAAAACAGACTCAGAAGTAGACGTAGACGCCCGAATCGTGGTCCGATCATCAGAGGCTGTGCTCAACGACTCAGACTTGTGTTGCTTGTGCTTGTTATGGGTGAACTGCTTTAAGAGAGCTGCTGCAACCACATTATTATTGGAATCCGAGATTGCAATTGCCTTCTGTCCTGGAGGGCCAGCACGTTTCGAACCAACGACAACGACGGAAGACGATGCTGCTCTTTGTTTTTGATTGAATTTTGGCCTTGGCCTTGGTCCTGGCTTTCTTTGTTGCTTCCGATCCTGGTTCCGGTTGCTCACAGATACACGGTGTGAAACCTTTGGAACAAGAACGTAAGGCAGGAGTTTCCTCTTCTTTTTCGGCAAGTGCAAATTTGTGTCTCTTTGGGACTGAGAAGGTGAAGCACTGGGAAACAAGAAATTTACAGAGAATTAGTTAGTTGCTTTTAAACAATATAAATTAAATCAGAAAAGAAAAAGAAAAGGCTTGCCTTTGTCCAAGTTCAAGAAGAGGAGGTGAAGGTAGAGAAGAAGAGGTGGCATTGTCTCCTTTGACAGAGGTAGGCTGAGATTGAGAAGGGAGAGAAAGAGGAGAGACATTCTCTTTACTCTCTTTCTTTGAGTTAGAATGTGAAAGAAGGGGCAAATAGGGGTAAGAGGGAGAAGGTTCCTCTTTTAAGCTACTATTACTAACAAGAGCTTTCAATTGAGGAGAAAGTTGTTGAAAGGAAAGGTCTAAAGCTTTGCTAAGCTCTAAGCCCTCTTGCTCAGCCATTAGACTTAGAGAAAAGGTCGAGCTTCTCTCTACAGCTGTCATAAAGGAAAATAGACAGAGTTGAAAAGATATATGTATGTGAGAAAGAGGTGGAAAAGAGACACAGAAGGTGAGGTAAGGTGGCAGATCAAGAAACTGAGAAATAGAATAGCTCTAAAGACAGGAGAAGGAGTAAGAATATCTCAGACAAATGATAGGTGAAAGCTGATGGTATGATGGGAGTAATGGGAGTAAGAGAAGGAGAGAGGCAGTAACTGACAACAGTCTGAAGAAAAGGGTCTTGCTTATTCATGCGCCCTATTGGAACTCCGCAGTTAGATTGTATAGCTCCTGTGGTTGTTGTTGTTTCTGAACGGTACACGTGACTTGCACGTGGATTTGGCGTTCGACAGACAGAGAAAGATAAATTTGGAAATTTATTATTGGACATTTTTTGTTTTTCACATGTTTTCTGTTATATACCGTGATTTCTAAACGTGCACCGGTTATTGACACCAAAAGCATTTGAACATTGTTTGTTTACAGTCTGCCTAGGGAGGAGAGCTGATTCAGGCAAACACTTGATGCACTTTCTGGTTTAGAAAATTCCGACGCGTCAAACTTGATGGCCTGCTACTAAGTAATCCTCCCTGTGCTCTCACTCCTATCTTACTTGACTATCTGAACAATAAGAAATAAGCCAAAATTTTTAACAACAAAGAGTGAAAACTGTTTCATTCTTAAGATGTGGATATAGTGTTTCTTCTCCCAAGAAGTGATTATGATAACAGTACGACTTGCTGTATTATTTTGCAACACATGTAAACATCAAGACGTTTTTATTTATCTATTTATTTTGTATCATTTCTGAAATTTGTTTTATCTTAGTCTTTAGATGCTAAGCTCTGTTAATTGGCACAAAACGTTTTTTGAAACGAGCCTCTTGATTGAGGAGGACAGACGAAGCTCTTTGAAGCAAGCAATTGATACACCTGCTGTGTTTAGAAAATTCCGACACATCAGTTTGATGGTCTGACCTAATCCTAGTAATCATTCATCAATGCATGTTCTTTTGAGTCTTTGACCCCTATCTTTCTTGACTTCTGGGCAATGAGAAATAGAACAGAATAAAATAATGACAAAAAGAGGTTTTATTTTCGACTGATATGGATACAATTATGTGCTTAACTTTTGTGAACGATACGAGTACACAATTTATATTGCTTGTAATTCTTTTGCGATCTGTCGTGAGCCCCGTGGAAGTGGAAAACAAAGTCGTCACGACGATGTGTAGGGCACAATATGACACCTGTGTCGTCAGAAAGGAGATAAGTTTCATCGTCATCGGAAACAAGTGAAAAAGGAGTAAAGGAGTAGACCAGGTACGTACCCTATGAGTCCTCGTCCACCCCATTTTCGAGGGATAAGTGTTAGTGTGATGGGTTGAGAGTTGCGTAGGATCCTTATGTTGAGGGGTTGCTAGTGTCATTTATAGTTAGTTAGTGAGATAGAGAGACGAAGTGGAGGGGACCGAGCGGACGTACATTCTCGTGCTCTGCTGCGAGTGTGGCGAGTGGTGCGAGACTTGATGCTTGTATTATTGTTGATGATGAGGTAGTGGAAGTTATGGAGGAGATTGTGAATGAACCGAATGCGAGGATGACGTCTTCTCGTTGCAGGCCCTGCATGAGTGTACAATAAATATGTGCATATACTCAGGTAGATAGGAGGTGACACGCACTGCACTGGCTGCTGGACTTCCTGGTGCGACACCATCCACGCGTGCAAACGGTATCGTCGGCTCCTCTGCTGCTGTCTCTTCAACCTGCATAGCGTCCTCGTCTCTATTTTCTTCCGTTCTTGTCTGTCTATTCGCAGCATGCACAGCCTCAAGTGCGGTCTTGACTTCCTCCAAAATGGCATTTAGGTCGTTCCGCAGCTCGATGATGCGTACACGCGCGGTTCGGACGGCGACGATGTCGATGTCGGCGCGGGGGAAGCCTTCGCGGTCGACGAGTGGGGTGCGCATGTCGACGTTGTGGGATTTGAGGATGGAGAGTTGGGTGTCGAGTTCGGCTTCGATTTCTGATTTGCGGGCGATGAGCGATTGGGCATGACTGAGCGGATCATCGGGGACGGCTGCTGTTGAGGAGGAAGAAGCGGACGGAGGAGGGAGTGTGTAGCCCATTATTTCTGACGATAACGGAGGTGGATGGAGGAGGAATGAGGAATGAGTCGCGTGCTGGGCGTGCGTGCTGTCGGACGGAGGAAATTGGAAATGGATCGCGGGCCGAGGGGTATGCCCGGCGGAGATGCGGGTGGTAGCGAATGATCGGGATGATGTAAGCCGGAGGGGATCTGCAGGGCTCACACTAGTGTAGCGTCGGATCGCTTCTCCGTGGGCGCGTTGCTGTGGAAGTCGGGAAGGCCGAGATCGCCTGGGATGGATACCCGGCGACCTGCGATTTGGCGGGGATATTAGTCAGGCTCAAGCCGTCGACGTCGGATGGGACGCGCGGATCGGGATCGGGGGCACGGACGAGGAAGCGAAGGAAGGGAAGGAAGCATGCATGCTCACGGTAACCCCGCACCTCTAACTGACCAGCCAGAGAGCCTCGCTCGGAGCCTGAGCCTCAGTGGCCGAATGGGTCCAGCCCCTACTCGATGGGCTTCCCTTTTCCGCTCGTCCGTGCCGCACCGCACTGCACTGAGTAGCTAAGACTAGCCCCGCCTCCGCGTCCTTTCCAGCCAGCCATTCTCATCTTAGTCCCTCTCTTCTCCTCTCTTCCATCATCACGCCCTCTCTCTCTTCCACTGCTGCTACTACCCAGCCCCGTCACTACCGACACCGCCTCCGCCGTCCCCGCCACCGACATATGTCTTCGCTAGCAGCCCTCCCCGCCCCCACTCCCAGGGCAGGGCCTGGTGCAGCAGCAGCCCACCCGCATGCCCGTACCGCGTCCCAGCCCCGCGCCTACACGATCATGGTCGCTGGTGCGGCGCGCGGGAAGACAGCTCTCCTCCGTCTCCTGCTCGACACTGCCGAGCTTGCGCCGGCGCGGAAGCAGCAGCAACAGCTGTCGTCTTCGGTGGCTTCCCCTGCTTCGGTGGGCTCGATCTCCGTCTCGGCATCGGCCGTGGACTCCGGCGCACCATATCCCGCCCCTACTCCGGTCAACATAGCGCGATTCATTCAGGGTGCGGTGAGTCGCACGACCCGTGTGCGCACGTGTGCCGTTGAGGTCCTTCCGCCTACCGAGGGCGAGCGCAGTCGTGGTGGGCTCGCAGCAGCGGATCAAAGTAATGATAGTCACGAAACACAGACGCAGGCGCAGAGCGTGCTGCTGAACCTCGTTGATACGCCCAGTCTAGACACACGCGATGAGAGGACCCTTGAGCGATCCCTCGCGGATGTGCTCGCCTTCATAGAGGGTCGCTTCGCGGAGAGCATTGACGATGTACGTCTCCTTCCCTCCTTCCTCGTTTCCTCTCTCACTCTGTGTCATTTTTCTGAATTGCTAACCGGACCCTTTGATTCCATGCTGTCTTGCAGGAGCAAAAAGCGCGAACGGGGGACCATCACGTCCATCTGTACGTTGCCCGTCCCCCATTCTGGTTTTTCTTCCGGTGTTCTCTTACACGAAAAACACGTTTCTGCCCAAATACAGATGTCTGTACCTCCTGGACCCGGATACGATCGTTCCCCTACCCGTCTCTCCGCCGCCCTCGCCCATACTCGTACCCGTGTCAGCAAACTCGCCGGCGCCGGCCTCTGCTCTTCCTTCTTCCGCGGTCCAATCGCATCCTCACCCGCAGCTTTCCCACTTGACACTTCCCCCGCCACCTTCTGCTGCGCGCCTACCTTCACCTGCTTCTTCGGCGCCTTTAACGGCGACTGCAAACTCGCACGTACTCCCTACGCCATCACCCTCGTCGTCTGCTTCAGTATCGGCCGCGGGCGCTGTACTTGTAGGGAACGGCGGAGACAATGCTACCGCTACTGCAGCCCACCCACCTCTTCCTCAAGCCTCTGTTCCGGCTCCCTCCTCTACTGCCGGTTCCCACACAGACACGCGTCTTGCTGGATCAATGGGCCTTTCATCCGTATCCGCTTCCGGAGGCGCGCTTTCGCCGCCTCACTCTCTTCCCCATTCGCATACCCACGCGCAGGCCCAACGACAACATCCATCTTCTTCCGCGGCATCGGCTAATATCATGACGACTCCTAACTCCAATCAGGTCGCAAATTCTAATTCTAATACCCATTCGACAAACGGCAGTACCAATCCTAGAAATGGGGCGGGGATAGGCAGGGTCGGTACAAGAGTCAATATCGGCGGTTCCGACTCCGAGTCCAACTCCGTTGCCGCCGGCGTCGGTATTGGCGCCACTGCCGGTCCTTCCCCCATCGTACAGCCCGTGTCTCATCCCCGTCCGCGTCGTCATACTGGTAGTACACGCTCTGACTCTCTGCCAAACCCACCACATTTGCCCGCTCTCGAAGTTGCTGCAATAAAGGCGCTCTCAGCCCGGACAAATGTCCTTCCTGTACTCGCGCGCGCAGATACGGTGGGCGCTGCGCGTCTAGCGGCGATTAAGAGAGCCGTCAGGGCAGATTTGGCAACCGCAGGCATTGGATTTGGGATTTTTGATGCCGGTCCGGGTAGTGGAGAAGACCTTGTCGGTCGAGACTCTGCTCAGGAGGCAGTAGACGAGCAAGAGGAGACTGGCGAGAAATCCGAGGTGAAAATGGAGGTAGATGCACCAACCGACCCAGGGTTGTCTGGTCCTCAGAATTCTGCACGGAAAGGCAAGGCGAAATTTGCAGCAATTCGTGTCCCTCGCCTGCCGCACGCGATATTAACACCGGACGTGTATACACATGGCGAAGGGGTTGAGCTTGATATCTATGATTTGCGTGGTGATACGAACATTGATGATTTGGATGAAGAGTTGCGCCTGGAAATGAGCTTTGAGAGCCTTGTGAAGCGGTATACGCCGCCCTCTCCGATCTCTTCTCAGTCTTCGACCCCTAGTCCATCTACGCCTACTGCAAAAACACAGAGAAGTCCTCTAGCAACGGAACGTGCATCCGAAAGGGAAGAGATGAATGAGAAGGAGGGAGGAGCTGCTGATCTTGCGAATCTAGACGAAGAGCAGGACAAGGAAAGGTCAAATACCGAGACAGGCGTAGTTGACAACCAAGGCGCGTCGAAAACAGATGTAACTGCATCTCCGGGTAGCAAGGACCCCTCCGCCATGCATGCAGATCCATCCTTAATCTCTCATACGCGATCCTCTTCATCTTCTTCCTTACGTTCCTCCAAGTCCAAATTCAAAGACGATAGAAGCCAGTCGAGACCCGAGAATGCAAAGCAGACCGGCTTGTTGAAGGGAAAATTTGTTCGACAATACCGTTGGGGAGCTATCGATGCACTTAATCCTGCTCATTGCGACTTTGTTCCGCTTAGGCAAGCCGTATTCCACCACATGCAGGTGCGTTTTTCTACCCTTTGTCAATTTTTCTTTTCTTTTCGCAGTTCTTCTTTCACACATGTCTTCAACGTTCTTTCCGTATTACTTCTTACTGCTTCCTTTCGTGAACGAGAATTATATTGTTGTTCTTTGGTGCATGCAGTGGATATTCATGAACCTTGACTAATATGACATCCAGCCTTTGCGAACATACACACGCGATTATCTCTTTGAGAAGTTCCGTGTTGATGTACACCATCAGCGTCAGCATCTTGCTGCCGCCTCACTACACCCGTCGTCTTCGTATCCCCCCGGCGGTGCCCCATCGTTGTCATATTCGTCGTCTTCAACCTCAGCTCATCTAGCTGCCTCGCCCCCATCAGCGACACCTAAGTATCCGTATCCCACTTTTTCTGGTAATGCGCCATCCTCATATTCCTCTGTCCCAACGTCTACGACTGCGTCAGCTGTATCCCCTCATTCTGCGGCACTCCTTTCGCCTGATGTAGATATCGCGAAAGAGCATGGACGCCCGCGTGAGCGGGAGGCAGCTTGGGAGAGGGAGAGGTCACGCGAGCGCCAGCCTGGACCGTACCCGATCTCTGTGCAGCATCCTCACCATAAAAGTGGGTCAGGCTCTGTGTCGATGTCAAGGGGCGCAACATCCCCAGGCCTTGTTCCTTTGGGTGGTGCACCACCAGGGAGAATCCAGCCTAGCAGCATTAGAGAGGGAGACGCAAATGAGATGAATAGGGAGCGAGAACGTGAGTTGGGAAGAGAGAGGGAGAGACGTGCGGCGCTCCCGCCTCTTACTCATCCTGCTTCTGCACAGCAGAACGTTGCATCTCTTCCTCCTCTGTCGGCTGTCTCTGCTGGAGCTGTCCCCTCCCCAATTAGTGGAAGGGAGTACTCACGTTACCCACCCGACCGTTATGATCGAGAGATGTGGAGAGACATGGACCGCAAGAGGGATAGGGATAGAGAAAGAGAAAGAGATAGGGATTACCGTGTCCGACGGGACTTCGAGCGCGAACGTGGATACGACTATGGAGGGTATCGAAATGCTCTCAATACTCAGCCAGGACTTATTCCCCCTTCCCCCGCCTACCGTGGAGTCAGGGAGGATTACGGCGAAGCATACCTCAGTGACGAAGAACGCGAGGAGAAAGGGTATCGACGTGAACGTTATGATGCCCTTCGTGAACGTGAGCGTGAAATAGATAGGGAGAGAGGCAGTATACGTCGTCCTGGTCCGCTCAGTCCTCGTGATCGTCAGTATGAACGTGAACGGGAGAGGGAGCTTTTATCTGCACGTCCTGTCAGCTCGGGATCTGCTAATGTGGGCTTTGGTGGGTTGGGACTTGGAGGACATATGCAGCCACCAAGTGCGAGCACGAGTACAAGTACTAGTGGACCGCCGTCGGCATCGGCGAGTGGTCTGTTGTCGGCACACCCGAGTACACATGCATCCCCTTCTTCTGCTTATCCGCAGACTCCTGCTTCTGCTTATCCACATGGACTTGGACACGTAGGCTCCCGCGGCGACGGAGTACCAGTATACGAAAAGCCTGGGTTTGGACCGCCTTCTGCAACTATTCCAGGAGCAGGTGCACCTCCTGCAGTACGGATGCACCATATGCAACATCACCATCATGGTGGTGGACACGTGCGCGGGCCCGTCAACCCCGATCTTGAGTATGACCGAGACATTGTGCGAGTGCGCGGGAGAGAGCACGAACATGAACGCGAGATGGAAAAAGAGAAGGAGAGGGGTCCTGCTTCTGGGTATGGATTGCGTAGTGGTGCCGCAGAGAATAGGCCAATGGGCGTTGATTATGCTGGTCGTCCGGTTGTGATTGAGGAGGGTGAGTTTGACCTCTTCTCTGCTTTGAAATGTCAGTGCAGAGGCGGGCGATGTGAACTGGATTTACTGACTTTTCTTTTTTTACTTTCTTTCTATCTTGTCGCTTGTGGCGTTGGATCATCCTCTACTTATCCCGCTATTTACTATTGTTTTGCAACTTCGGTTGTGGAGATACAGACGTGCACGCTCGTCTTCGAACGAAGAAGATCACAGTCGCTTGTAATTTCTGCCGCTGTACGTCGGCTTCTTCCTTTGCCTTTTGGGATGCGCTAAATTTCTATTTTTATCATTATTTGTAGCTCGTAAACTCAAATGCGACGGTGGCCGTCCCTCGTGTAGCCAGTGCATCAAGCGATCCCACTCCTGCGACTACAAGGCACATGCACGTCGGCGTGGTGCTGCCGGATCATCCCGTACTACACAAACGCAGGGACAAGTGGCACAAGAAGAGACGCGAAGTGATGCTGAGGAAGATGCGGCGGGTGATTTGGACGCCGAATACGAAGCTGGTGTTTCCGGCCCGGAGGAAGGTGCTCCAGCTTCTGTTCCAGTTGGACCAAACGGTGTGGGCGTGAGGCATACAGCAGAACATCGCCCTGGCAGTGGAAGCTCTGGCGGTCCGATGGCTTCGAGGAGGAGCTCAAATGTTGACTTGATGATTGCTGAGACGCTGCGCTCTCCGAGAGCCGCTGCACTTGAACGCGAGCGGGAACGGGAGAGGGAAAGGGAACGAGAGAACGAGAGGGAGTATAATGCATTTGCGTCTGCACCGCATACACGGCCGCAACCTCACCATGCACGTACATCTCCGAACGGAAATGCGTCGTTTGGAAGCCAGCTCGCACCGCTTCCCTTCTCTGGTGTTAATTCGAGTTCTGCCACATCACCTACTGTGTCTGCTCCTATTCCTGCTTCGGCGACTAGCCCCGGTGGTGCGGGCCACCGAGCTTTGACAACTAATATGCAGCTGTTGCCGTCACCTGGTGGTGGAGCTGCTGGTAGTGGGATGATTGCACTTGGTGGAATGACACCTGCTGAACAGGCTGTTGCTGCATCTGCTACTGGGAGGAAGCGTGGTGGACCGAAATTGTCGCGCATTGCGTCGAATTATGGACCGAAGGTCGTTGCCTGTAATTTCTGCCGAGGTATGCTTCTTTCCGCCTTCAGTATTTTAAAACTTTTTATTAAACTTAAATTTATACAGCACGTAAAACAAAATGCGACGGCCAGCACCCGACATGTCAGAGTTGCGCTCGGCGCTCGTTGCCATGTAGCTACGTTAGTGATGCACCGGGTCGAGGTCGTAAGCCCGGTCAATCATATAAGGGTGGTCCGCGTTCTGGGACGGCCGAACAAAAGGAAAAAGAAGCGCAGATGAAGAAAGAGGAGTTGTCTTCTAAGAGCGCATTAAAAGGTGGTCAGCATCAGCAACTCCAGTTTTCCCCACGTTCTGGAGCTTCGGCAGAAGGGGGTGAAGGGGATGTTGAAGGCTCAGGAGGGGATGGGGATGGTGAGGAGATTAATGGTGAGGGAAGCGTGGAGGGTGAGAATGTTGAGAGGGAGAGTGCGAGTGCGAGTGTGAGTGTGAGGTCGACGGCCTCGAAGAGGGCTTTTATGGGTGAGGAGAGTCCCGAGAATGGGAAGAAACGGTTGAGGATGGACGAGGAGACGAGGGTGGGGATCTCTGCGAGTGCGTGACGAGAGCATGCATGGACCGCCGATTCTCAAACCTCATAATGTTATCGATGAGTACGTTGACAAGGCAAAAGCGATCGAAACGAACGGTATGAGACGAGACGAAAACTAAAACGATATGACGCGTGTTTGCGAAATGACAAAAACCTCTGTTCCGCCCTTTTTACCTTCCCTTCTGCATATAAAGCTTGTTGTCTCTCTCTCCTGCTTATTTGCCCTCAAAAATATTTCTTCCCTGCCCTCTGATCTATGTATTGCTCCAGCGTGTGTTTGTGATTTCTCTTTTCTTATCTTCTGGTCTGGTAGATTGCGGCTCCTTCGCCTTGTTTTTCTGTCTGTCTTTTTAGAGATTTGTTTGCTTGTTCATGGACTATTATTGCCTTCCGTCCCTTCGATTGTTTTCCTTCCTGGTCTGTCATAACATACATACTCTTTTCGTCTGTCAACTTTGGACACTCTTTTAGTGCTTTCCCCATCCATGGTAGAATATACAGTAGTACAGTAGTACGTACATCAGCAGTATACATTAAGTAGCTTGCGACTCAACTCACTTGCAGATATTCAAAATTAACACCCTGTCACTTTTTTTCCCCATTTTGTTTCTTTTGTTTCGATTCTCTTCCGTGTCGTATTGTTGTTTGTCGTTGTTGTTTGTATTTACAATAAATTTCATAGTTGTTTAGTGCTTTTTTGTTTGCTGACTTGTTTGCTTTCATGTGTTGAAAGATACTGAAACGTTGTTGATTGCAAAAATGTTTGTTACTCAATGATTACTGACTGAAAATCTTTACAATAAAGATGACATTGCATTAAATTTTCCTCGGGTTTGACTTTCACGGCCAAATGAACGGCGATACGTGCTCTAGATCACCACCACGATCATAATCAGGCTATACTTCATTTAATTATTATACACTGGTCAAATTTCCGCGTTCTGCTTCTCGTGATCCGGGACTTTGGACTAAAGTCTTTTTAAGTGAAAAACGAGGCAAACAGGCACTAGTCTACTAGTAAGTGGTAAGCAACTCCGCGCAGAGGCCGAGCAATGCCGGACAGGTCCTACAAATCGAAGTCCGAGACTCTGAGAGGCTAGAAGCTTTGGAGGTGATATGGTCACTTTGGCACAGGAATCTGCACGCGTGCAGTTACCCTTACTGAGTTATTCGAGACAATTAAAAAAAAATTGAAAGGGGGAAATGTACTGGGCTGGCTTCTCTTCTTTGTTTTCTGATTTCCAAGATTTAGACGAGGAGTTTTTTGTCTGGCATCACTAAAGTGAGAACGAACGGAGTCGAGATGAGGAGGTACCTGTTAGTGCACCATTTCGATCCGAGGCCAACTATTGTCGGTTAGCACTTGTTACACTCAACTCTTCTAGCGTCCAGCGAGTCGATGAGACGGCCAGGGCGAGGCTGCCTTGACAACGAGCGGCAGACCGACACGTCGCATCGGTTCTTTGAATTTCTCTCGCACTAGTGCTGGTACAGGTGTTCTTCTCTCACCGCATCCCGAGTTATTACACCCGTTGCTTCCGAATTCGACTCCACTGAGAGTTCTGGGCGCTTGAGTTGAATTTGAAATTTTGATGGCTTTTTTTGAGCCCGAGTCGGCAGATGAGTCCGTGAGTTTCTGTGAACATGAGAGTTTTGTATGTAAGAATGAGGCTTGGTGAGAGTCTGGGGGTGGAAAGCAAGTGAACCTTCTGTGTTCGTAACATTTGGTATTTACTACTGATCATCTTAGTATTGTTCCGCGATAAGAGGAGAAATATAGTGGAAGGCAGAAGGCGCTTATTCCAAGGAATGATCGGTGTCGGTTTACTGATACTGACAATTTGTACTGAATGGATGAAATCGATTGAATAACGAATGGGCGCCCAGTGGAAGAGTCGAAGCAACTAGCGCGAACATTACTCAGGCTCACCGCGGATGATCTGCGACCGGGACCCTCAGTTGTGATAAGAGAAAGATAGACCACAGGAGGCATAGACGGATGAGAACTAGGTCGGATGTCCAGTCAGTGAAAAGGCCGAGGGGACGAGAGAATATGTGTATGCATACGTTCGGGGTTCTCATTTCACTTTGTGTTCCTTCCTTCCGCAAGTCCAGGCCATTCAGTACAGTACACCGGATCGAGATCATACACGTTAAGAAGCAAGCTGTTGTTGTCGGAATTGGACGTAAACATTCAGCAAAGTAGTGGTAATTCCCTATGATTTCGGAAGTCCGATATATATTTGTTGTCCCCCGCATCTACGCGTGGCGTGTCGCACATCTGCACATGTAGAGCACATGTCCCCTTTGTCCAATAGAATCTCTATCGAATCGTGTCGGGGGAAAGAGGAAGAGAGCTTCCTACCGTGTTTGGTTGATGAGGCCGCGTTAAGCACGCCGCAAGTAGGCTTCGGAACTTCGTCATATATTGGAGGCATAGAGTGCTGCTCCGTATGTGTCTGTCGCATTGCTTCCTTCCGCTGAATAACTGGTGTGTTGTGCAGTGATGATTGGTCAAGAACAAAAGATTAAATATAGAGTGAATACGGGAGAATTGGTCGGAGCGCCGGGGAAGAAACATCTTTCTCCTGCTGTAGGTTCGGCTGTTATGTTTTCCAGTATAGGGTGTTCACATGGGCGACATTACAGCTGGGCGTGGAAGAAACCAGATCCGTGAAGAGAAAGAAGGAAATTTTAGTAGACCTTCCTTCTCGTTAATGTCAGTTAAGGACAGAATGTGTATATGGTTGGGACGGACCGACGGAGATTATCCCGTCATTCCGAAATCAGCGCATCCCGGACAAATATGGAGCGAACAGCGTTATATATGGCCGAGGTGGGTCCCGGACGGAAGGAAGGGTGAAGCAAAAAGAGGGGCGCCATATAGGAGTTTGAGCTTCACGCTTCCCGACACGGAAGTCAAGCGGCGAAGCGGTAGAGTATCAAAGATGAATTAATGAACGAAAAGTTGTGTCGGAGTGTCGGTGAGTGCGTACGTGCGGATCGCTTGAGGAAGATTGTATACTTGTGAAGTGCGAGGCACGGGATTCTGAATACTGGAGGCCTAGCCCAACAGTAAATACCCTAGATAGTGTGCTTCGATATAACGAAAGATTCACTGTCTCCTTAACTCAGGCTTGGCTGTCTGAGACTCCTGTTGACTGGAGGGTGTGTACAAACACAGCCCAAACATGGAATAGACCAGACATAGTCATCAATTATGTGCACCTGTTGTTGCACGTCTGTAATTTGCCTTACAGTCGTTTTCATAAATATAGTCACACATGAAAATCACATGATTTTTGTCACATCAAGTACCAAAACACAAAAAAACTCATATCTCAGCCAAAACTCAACGAAAATGTGTGGAATAAGTTGCTAAATTCATTATTTTAGAATATCTTTCATATACCAACAAGAATGAAGAAAATTGAGTAAAAATTGAGTGAGATACAGTACAAAATATGGATTTTCTTTGTATCTCTCATTTTAATTTTTTCTTTACCTCAAAACCAGACATTTAAGCCTGGAGAACTGTTTATTACAGTTGGATATACTAATACTTAATTTATATACTAGCTTTTCTGTAAATTAACCATTCATTCTACTTTATTGAGAGAGGGGTAAAATGTGTAAAACTAACTATTTTTCCCTAGTCCTCCCTATACTCAATAAATCCTATTAATGCCCAAAATATATTCTTAAATTAAATATAAATGTATTAGAGTATTTTACAACAAGTTTCATGTTAATATG